TTGGATTCACTGTTTTTCAGCAGTATTACATTTTTTATAGATGTCCTATGTTAGAGTCAGACTTCAGTTTTCTGAGAATTTACTGAGAATTTTTATGTTGAAAGAATATTGGATTTTGTCTGATGGGTTTTTTTCATCCGTTGAATTGATCATTTGTTACCTTACCTCCCTCTTCCCCCAAGCCACCCTGTTCTTTTGTTAATGGATGTTTGGATATTAAGTCAGTGTAATATTATAGTAGGAGTTTTGCATGTTAGTGAGTTTTAGCATTCCTAGGGTAAGCCTTATCTTGGTTTTGAAATAATGTCCTTTTTCTACATTAATGGCTTAAATTTGCTAGAATATTTGGATTGATTTTGGTGTATTTATAAGGAAAGTTGATCTGTGGTTTACCTATTTTATATTTTTGTTAGATTTGTGTATCAGGGTTATGTTAGTATTTCATTTAAAAAAAAGTTCTGTTATTTATGCATCAAGAGCTGGGGGCAGTAAACTAGAGGTGCAAGGGTGTGAGAAGATTCACAGAGATAGGGGAGAGCAGAACAAGAGGATCTGTTGAAATACACTGCTAAGGATCTGTTGAAATACACTGCTGAGGGGAGCAGTGGTCAAATCAAGAGGGGTCTGCTGCACCATACGGGTTAGCTCCTGGGGGGCAGTGGTGGAGTAATTTGTAATTTGTTTTTTTATAGTAATTTTTTTAAAGATTTATTTATCTATGCATACAAGAACTGGGTAGAGGCCAGAGGTGCAGGGGGTGAGAGGATTCACCAGAGATAGAGTGGGGAGCAGAATAGGTAGGTCAACTGAGGGGAGCACCAGGCGAGACAGTAGAGGCCTACTGTGTCATGTGGATCACTTCCCAGGGTGGAGATTGAACTGACACTGAAGGACACTGAAGGGCTTGCTGCTAATCCACTGTGTCACCAGGGAGGGCCCTTTCTGGTTTCTTAACAATGAGCCTTTATGTCATTGAGTTTTGGAGCTTTCTTTTCTAGTATAAATAGTTACAATTATAAATTTCCCTATAGGTATTATATTGGTTGCCATTTCACAGATTTTATTATGTGGTATGCTCATTATCATTTAGGTCAAAGCATTTTCTAATTTATCTTGTGACTTCTTTGACACATTGGTTCATTATATGTGTGTTCTTTAATTTCCAAATATTTGCTATGAAGAAGGGCATTCTTGGCAGACAACAGTTAGGGAAGGGCTCTAGAGGGAATGGTTCAGGATAGATCCTGATCACTCTTCCTCTATAGGCTTAAAGTTTGTCTTGTCAGCATCAGAGAACAGTAATGGTGAAAACAGATCCTTGCAAAAATTAAAATCAGAAATAATCCATGGGTTTTAACTTCTGATTATGGTAGTTACACCATTAAACTTTCTAAATTGCTATATATAAATTATCAAACATGATTCTTGGAATGACTGGGAGTGGAGCTAGGAAACCATCTTGTTATTTAATCTATATTTTAATTCATTCTAACTATTCTCTTGTTTTGTTTTATAAAATTTTATCAATTTACCAGTCATGTACATACCTGTATGGTTTTGGGTATTATAACTATTAAGTCATGGCCTTTATCACTGTCCAGAGTGACTCAAGACACTACCAGTTTAGGTTTGCAGTTTCTATAGTTAAGACTACCAGGTCCACTGGAAATAGTGACCCATCCCCTATTGAGGGGAACCTTCTTTGGCTTCTCAGATGGAAAGAATGGTAGGCTGTCTCAATCTTAATGAGTAGAGGTTCAGATTAATCTGAAATTACCTTCATACTCTTAAATTTTGGATAAGAAATTTCCTAACTCCTTGTTTCTAGTCTTTTCTTCCAGTAGTGTTTCATTAGTCCTTTTTGATAATACATAACACTGACAACTAACCAGTTGTTAGTTTCTTGATGAGAATAGTTCGGCAAGAGTTCTTATTGGCTCTTCTAAAAAGCATTGTTTCCTCCATAATTGAACACATACAGAAGAGTGGATGGCTGACTTTCCCCAGTTGTGAATTGTTGTTTCAGAATGGATTGCTGGGCTTCTTGAGCATTGAGCACTAATAGTGTAATAACTACTTTGGTCATTCTTTTTTAAGAGAGCGTAAGTGTTTACACTTAAGTATTTTATCTTAAATGTTTTAACGTCCATAAGTCTTGCCCTTGCCTTCCTGCTAAAGGTAGCTTAAGTATTGGCTGCTACTCTAATCTGTTGCCACCTTCAAATCACCTGGAGTCACTTCCTCTATCTAGGAAATTGGGGGTAAGGGGTTGTGTGTACTACCTACCATAGCTCTCCTAGGACCAAAATCAAGGAGGAGATAACCGGCCTGCTGATAATATCTCTTAGTGTGAATTTTAGGCATGCCACTTGTGTGCTGCTTTTGCTCAGAGAACCTTCGGAACCAGACTTCCCTAAAGACCTTCCCTGGTATCCTTTACTGGATGAAGTACATTTTTGCATTAGTTAATCATCTCAGAATTCTTTCAGGTTTATAATGGATTATTAAGGGTTAAAGAGTCACTGTACCTGTAATACACAATCGACATAATATGGGCAGTTCTTACATCCCCATTTGTGATGTGGGGACCACAGTAGTGCCTCCTGCAGAAGGCTGGTGGGAGGAATGTATAGCTAAGATGTGTGCTTACTGTCTTGTTTATATTGATGTATTGGTAGCTGTTGGCACTAAAAGAATAGACCCATGGTCACTTGTCTGTTGCTTTTATGAAGTGCTAGCTGCACCCATTTTTCACATTTTCTGTTGTCTCCAGAATCTGCTCCTCTAGGATATTCTGAGGTGGTTATCAATGGACTTATTGACTTGGCTGTACATGGCTAGGAATCCTCTGCATTTTCTGGGTGGAGAGTGTCGTTGCTGAGACCTTTAATAAAATTTTCAGTTTCAACAGAGAGCTGTGTTCTTTTCCACTAGCTGTACCTGGTGTGCTAATTCTGAAAGTTTGTTGCTGATGTTAGTACTATATACTGAGTTTGCTTTATACATGTGTTCAGTTCAATTCTGGATTATGTGGATTGGTGAAAGGATACCTGACTCAAATTCTTTAAAACTATCTAGGAAGATATGGGAAAGTGACTGCTGTAAATGGCTAGGACTCCTCCAAGCTTTCCAGGTGGGGAGTGCCTTTGCTGACACTGCATGGTGAAACATTTAGAAGCCAGGACAGAAAGTATTTAGGTAGAAGACTGAGTAGGCCTGATTGAATAAGAGATGACAGAAAAAGTTCATTTGTAACCAAAAGCTACATTCAAGCAGTTCTTAGTATAAATTAAATGTTTGTTTGTTTTCACTTTGTGATAGTATTCTACTGTGGACAGATAGTTTTGTTGCATTTAGAAGAAATGTCAGCTGTATAATTCAAGACCTAAAGTCTCTGTGCCTCAGTAAGAAAATATAGCAATATGCCTTTTCCAGATGCTTCTTCCCTCTCATGGAAGGAAACTGAAGATCTTAGTGAAGTTCTTATTTTCTCCAGATATACCTGGGTTATAGAAAAGAAGAAACTGCACAGCCTTGTCACTGGTTCTGAATTAGGAGTGACTTGAGGTTTAAGAATAGGAGAATAGGGCTCATGTATTGGCCACTATGTATTTTCTCCCCTGCAATTATATCTGTGTACCAGGCATGTTCTACCTTGCATGTCCTTAGTAGCTCCTATTGAAAGACTCAGTTAACAGAGTAACAAATCTGGTATACAGTCAGCTAGCCACAAGTGCTCTCTTTGTTTCTCCTTGATAACAGCAGCACCCTCTTGCTGTGTGAAGTATTATCTCTGGGAAACCTTATGTAGCCCTCCAGACATATTAAGTGACGCACCAGTCTAAACACTTAGGAGATTCTGTTTTGTAAGTAGCTTTCTCCCTCCATTAACAGAATGCCACAAGTATAACATATACATACTATCTTTTTTTTTTTTTTAAAGATTTACTTATTTATGCATACAGAACTGGGGTATAGGCCATAGGTGTGTGGGGTGAGAAGATTCACCAAAGACAATATGGGGAGCAGAACAGGCAGATGGAGTGAAAACACTGCTAGGGGAGCAGTGGACGAGACAGGAGAGGTCTGCTGCGACATGTGTGTCACCTCCCTGGTCGGGGATTGAACCATGCTCAAGCAGCTTCAGCCTGCCTTGGAATGCTGTGTTATGACCTGCTGCATCACCAGGGAAGAGCCTATATGCTATCTTATGATTATCTTCTTTAATATAACTTGAAATGTGAACATCTTTTTTCATTACATTTACTTCTGCAACATCCTTTTCACTGGCTGCATAGTAGTCCATTTCATGGATCTGCCATGCATTATTTGTCTAGTTTCTTTCTGTTGGACAACTATTTATTTCTAATTTTTTGATCTTATAAGTAACACTGCAGTGCACATATTTCCTCAGGAAGAATTTCCATATTTCCGCAGGAAGAATTTACAAAAAGTAGAATTGCTAACTTACATCACCTACTAAAGCTCTTTGATAACCATAACTAATTTGCCTTAAATGTCCCCTAAGAGAATGTAAGGGCCAGAAGACCACCCACCGATTTTTTTCACTGTTCTTAGCAGTGAAAAAAAAAGGTGGGGGAGGATATATATAGGAAGTCCAAGATTGAAGATATTCTAAAAGTTCCAGGTCTAATTAGAGGTGTGCCTCCCATGTGTGTTGTCCTACAGCAGCTTGAGAGGGCATGTATCTATTCAGGAATCCTTAGCTCTTTTGCTTAGATTAGACACAGGGTGGTTGTTTTCTGTGAATGGGGTGGTTTCATATCAAACTAATTTCTTGAAAGGGTTGTTGAGGAAAACAAGATAGAAAAATCAAGAGCTCCATAATGTTCTAAGAGGAATTTAAGCAGAGAACCATGAAAAAGAATTTGGAAATCAAGCCTGGGCCTGGTATAGACATGACGGTATACATTTCTCAAAATGTGGCATGCTCTGAAAGAAATTGCAGTTATATATATTTTTTTCTTTCTCCTTTCTAGGTATCTCATTCAGTTGCTAAACTTATATTAGTTAATTTCCACTGGCAAGTCACAGAGATATTGGACAGGTAAGGTGTTTGGGGGCGGAGAGATGTCATCTCCCACAGCTCCTCTCTGTTTACCCACCAGTGATGGAATCTGTCCTTAAAATATGCATATTGTGTTTGTAAAACATTGGGTCATGACATACTTTTTCCCCTTCAATATGTTGTGAACATTTCCTCATGTTTTCAACATATTTTACCCCACATTTTTTAAAAGGTACTATATTTTTAAAGATTGAATTTTTTATGCATACAAGAACTGAGAGGTACAGGCCAGAGGTTGGGGCAGGAGCAAAACAGGCAAATCCATTGAAATACATTGCTGAGGGGAGCAGCGAGAGGTCTCCTGTGCCATGTGGGTCACCTCTCTGGCCAGGGATCAAACTTAGCTACCGTGGCTGCAAACAGCTTCAGTGCTAAGACTTAACCCCTTGTGCCACCATGGAGGACCCTTACCCCATTTTTAATGCTGGCAAGTAGTTCTTCATGTGGGTGTTCCATACTTTACTCAAACTCCTAATGCTGGACATGAATTTAGTGAAAATTTATGTCATTGTTAATTTTAAGTTAGTGCTTTTCTCGATCACTCTTGCTATCATTTCCAGTTATTTCTTTTGGCTACATGAAGTGAGGAATGAAGCATAACATACACATTCTCTTCAGGAAAGGTTGACCAATTTACTGCTCACTTCCAGGACCAGCACTCTTATGGTACAGTCCCTAGAATCCCCAGATGTCTTGGAACTTGTCAGAAAGAAAGAGGTTCTATCCCCTCTCTTCATCCTCTGGGAAGGTTCTATGCCCCCATCCTCAGAGGCATGTCCTTCTGTCTAGATCAGGATTTCTAACTCTGTCACTATTGATGTTTTGGGCTGGGGGTATTTTGGTGGTGAACCTATAAATTGTAGGAGGTTTGGTAAATCACAATTCTACTTCTAACAGAACTAGCAATAGCACCTCTAAGCCCTTGAAATAACAAGTGTCTCCATACACTACCAGCTAAACCACTGGAGAGAATTGCCCCTGATGACAAGCACTGGTCACCACTCCTGCCCTTGCAGACTCCAGGGAATCTTCCTTGGTTCCATTTATCTACAGAAGAAAGTCTTGCCTTGCCTTCTCCAGATTAAACACAGCTAGGATGGCCATACCATCAAGAGCAGCTCAGCATACTCACAAGGAACAAATGCATTCCTAATTCATTAACTGCATTCTTACTCTATATCTAAGAAGTGAATACATTTAGGTAGATTTCCAGATGAACTTTAACTGCTGTTACTATTATCTAAAACTGTTGACCCACCTAGGTGCCAGTAATGGGGTATCTGTTACTCTTCAAACACTCTGACCTCATTTGGGAACAGAGAAGATTTGGATAACTAAAAAGGTCAAAAACACTAATGTAGGGCCTTTGTGGTGGCCTAGGGGTTAAGTCACAGCACTACCACTACCTGAATTTGATCCCTAGACAGAGAGCTATCCCACATATGATACAGCAGACCTTTCCTTCCCTGTGGTGATACCCCCTCGGCAGCCCTGGCTTACACCCTAGTTCTTTTACACAAAAATAAATAAAATTGTTTAAAAAAAACACCAATGTGAAAACTAGGAATAAAAAATAATTGAAGACTTTTTGGTCTGTTGGTATCTTTAAGCATTGCAGCCGAGCCTTTCATATGTGGAGGCATCCTGATTAGGTGAAGTAAGGAAATCATGTACATGAAGACACAATTGCTCCCTGCTCAGATACCTTATATCTTGGTAATGTGTTTACCTGGGAGCACTTCTATTGCCATGTGAAAATTGTTTTGGTTTAGCTGACATATTGTTAGTTTACAAGTTTGTTGGTTTTGTTTTGTTTTTTTAATAAGATTAAAATTTTTTTATTTATTTATGCATACAAGAACTGGTATGTAGGTGAGAGGTGCAGGGCTTGAGAGGATTCACTAAGACAGAATGGGGAAAAGAACAGGCAGATCTGCTGAAACACTACTGAAGGGAGCAGTGGATGAGACAGGAGAGATCTGCTGTGTCATGTGGGTCAGCTCCCTGGCCACGGTTAGAACTCATGCTGCAGCGGCTGGTGATAATTTGCTGTCACTGAGACTTTAACCCCTACACCACTAGGGAGGCTTCAGTTAGCCATTTTTTTGTTTGTTTTTAAATGTATTTATGCCACACCCCTTTCTGGAAAAGGATTAAAATTTTATTATTAATTGCTTCCTTTTAAAATGTAAGTATGTGGGAAATGCACTGGACTATGGTAATGGCACACACGGGATTTGGTGATGGGAAGCCCAAAGGGTTTACAACTGAAATGGTAAAAGGCACAGAATGATGTAAAAATAAACTATTATTTAAAAAATAAAATGTAAGTGTGTGTGACACAGAGGACGGGGGAGGAAGGAAAGGCAGACAAACAGACATATATTTTAAAGAATAAAGGAAAGACCCAATTAGGAAACACTCCGACCTTCATACAGAGGCCCCTGGTCATGGTCTCTGCTTGATCACAATTCCTCCTCCTCTAAAGGTTTTGTATTGATCATTTTTTTTTCCTTTCTTTTTTGATCATTTTCTTATTCTTAACTTATATTTTTCAAGTTTGTATGCTTTTAGAATTTTGCAAACTTTGAATCATACTATGTGTGTTTCAACTTTTTAAATTAACAAGTCTGAATATTTTGATGTCTTCCTGTCAAAAGTTGTTTGTGAGTTTTTAGTTTTTGCTGTTTTAATAATGCAGCTCTGAAAACTCTTGTATGTGACACCTAGTACCACATAATTTTTTAGGGCTAAGGCTAGAAAATTGTTGACATATAGCTTTACTAGGTAATAACTAAAGTGTTATCCAAAGTGATTGCATGCCTACCAGTGATGTATGAGTGTCCCAGATACTGTCAGACTCAAAAGTTTTTGCATTCTGCTAGTGGATGTAAATGTCTTTTAATTTTAATGTTCCTGGGCCCTCCCTGGTGGTTGCACCAACAGGGGCTTAAACACAGCACTATGGAGCTATCCACAGTCACTTGAGCACAAGCTTGATCCCTGGCCAGGGAGGTGACCCCAAATGGCATGATAGACCTCTCCTGTCTTGCCTACTGCTCCCTTTAGCAGTATATTTCACTCCGTCTGCCTGTTCTCCTCCCCACTCTGTCTCTGGTAAATCCTCTCCCCCACCCCGAACCTCTGCCCTGTACCCCACTTGTATATATAAATAAATAATTTTTTAAAAAATTTATTTAAACATACAGATCTGGGATTCAGGCCAGAGGTTCAGGGGATTGAGAGGATTCACCAAAGACAATGGGGAGCAGAACATGTAGATATACTGAAATTCATTGCTGAGGGGAGCAGCAGGTGGGACAGAAGAGGTCTGTCATGCCATGTGGGTCACCTCCATGGCTGGGAATCCAACTGGTACAATAGTGGCTGAGAATCACTTCATAGTGCTGTGCTTTTACCCATTGCGCCACCAGGGAGAGCCCTAACTAAATCTTTTTTTAAAAGATTTATTTATTTATGCATAAAGAACTGGGGTGCATGGTGGTGAAAGGATTCACCAGCCACAGAGTGGGGAGCAGAACAGGCAGATCAATGAAGTACACTGCTGAGGGGAGCAGTGGACAAGTCAGGGGAGGTACAGACCCATGTGAGTCACCTCCAGGGTCAGGGATCAGCAGTGGCTGCTGATAGCTTCATAGTGCTGGGCTTTAACCTGTTGTACCACCAGGGTGGGCCCTATTTAAATAAACTTTTAGGAGTTTTTATTTTCAGTTAACCAGTCCTTTGCCAGTTATACATGTGTTGAATTCAGTTTATAATTTAGTGACTTCACTTTATGGCATCTTCTAGTGAATTGAAATTCTTAAACATACCATAATTTGTCAGACTTTCCTTGTCTTAAATCCTCCCTATTCCGAAGACGTAGAGATGTGATACCTATATTTTCAAAAAGAGTTTGAAACAGATAAGGTCCTGCATTAGTATTTTTCTTTTCAGTTCAGTGCCTTTGAAGTGTAGGGTTTTTATTTTCATACCGGCTGAGAACTAAAAATTTGAAAGAGAACGAAATAGTTGTACCAAGGTAAAAGGAAACCTGGTTCTATAAGAAGAAAATTGGACATAAAGACACTTCAGTATGACCGCAACACTTGTTGAGCTGTCCTGGTTTTGTTCAGAGACAAAAATGGCTTCAGTTTTGATTCCCTTTATGCTTTTTGTTTTGTAGATACAAGTCTAATTCTGCACAACTACTCGTTGAAGCTCAAGTTCAGCCCAATCCATCAAAACATGTAAGTGTCTCCTGCCTGAGTGAAGCTTCTCATCAATTAGGAGTAAATCAAGGCCCTATCCAGCCTTACCTTTCTTGCCTTCTGTTCTTACAGCTTGCACACCATTCCTGGAGAGTTCCTTTGTGTTCTCAAGTTTACTGCTGCCTTTTTACTGTTTATGCTTTCCCTGGTCTGTAATTTCCAGGACCTGTCTCTTTATAGGAATACAACTTACCTTTAAAGACCCAAAGTCCTCTCATAAAACCTGTTTCCTGTGATCACTCCTTTCCAATCATCTCTGGTTATATTTTTAAGCCTGTGATTCACCTATAACTTTTCAATCCCCTTTCAAACTAAGTACCTTACGAATAGGAAATGTGTCTTACAATGAATGGCAGTTTCCTGTGTACCGAAGAGTTCAACAAATACTTGATGAATGAATGAGGGTCATGTTGAAAGGCTCTCAGGTGAGAGAATAAAGACTCTAATTACCTTATAATGTCTGTGGCCTAAGAGGGATAAAAATTTCAGGGACATAGGCTCTCCCTGATGGCACAATGGGTTTAAACATAGCATTATGATACTAACTGAAGCCACTGCAGCACAAGCACCAGCCAGGGGGGTGACCCATGTGGTGTGGCAGACCTCTCCTGTCTCACCTGCTGCTCCATTTGACAGTATATTTCCATTGATCTGCCTGTTTTGCTCCTCACTCTGTCTCTGGTGAATCCTCTCACTCCCCTGTACCCCAGTTCTTATATGCATAAATAAATCTTTAAAAAAATTTTCAGGGACATAGTGGATAAATAAGAGAACTTGTTTTTTTCCTTTAAAAAAAATAATTTTTTTTTTATTCCCAGTAACTAACAAAAACCTTTTGTAAACTTGTAGTGGACTTTTCTGTTGGTTTGCAGTCTTGGCTGGGTTTCTTTGTGAGTTTGTATACCTTGGAATTCATGATTTAAAGTTATGTGTTCATCTCCTAGAAGAGTTTCTCTCTTAGTGAAACTCTTTCTCATGCACTAATTGTTTGTAACATCTCTTTGGTATGGTAAGGATGAACTAGGTAAAAGCTATATTTTGTGTTTGGGGCATATTGGTATGGGGAAACTATAAAACTATATTGTGAGTTATTAAAGGCTTTACATTGTCAGCCTGTAAGAAACTTTGTGACTAGGTTTGTAGTACTTTTGAGAGACAGCCCTGTGCTGTGCTGAATGATAGCACTTTACAAAGAAATCAAGTAGCTTCTAAAAGAAGTTGGACTGAATGATCACTTAGGACTTTGTCAATTCTGAAATCCTAAGCTTTCAGTCTGACAGTTTTATGAATCACTGTAAATTCTCATTTCTGCCTTCTCGCTGCCTCTCAGAATCCCAGTGATTCTGTGACCCAACCCTCCTTGGAAGCCTTCCTGATGCATGCTCTGCTTAGAAATCTTGGGACTTCTAGAGCGCACCATTGCAGTGAGTTCCGACACTTGTTGCAGGGTCAGGATCACCTCCCATGCCTGTTACGGCTCTGCCTCTCTCTCCTCAGGTCCCCACAGCCCATCCCCCTCACCACTGTGCAGTGTGTATGCAGTTTGTACGGAAGGAAAACCTCCTCTCTCTGGCCTGTCAGCACCAGTTTTGCCGCAGCTGCTGGGAACAGCACTGCTCAGTACTTGTCAAGGATGGCGTGGGTGTTGGTGAGTCTGTTGTAGAATTTGTAAAAAGTTGGCATGAAGTGTATCTTCAGCTCTGTCCTTCCAGGTACTCAGATCAAGTGAGTGTTTTCTTCTGAGCCTGATTGAGTTTTTTATTCTTAGGACCATTGATTTTCCAAACATATCAGTCTAACCAGTGGCAAGATTTCCCTAGCTTTCAGCAAAATTCGAATATTAAATCTTCTGGTGGAGCATATCTACGTAAATAACGGTGTAAGGGCAAGGCTCCTTTCTCTTAGGCCTTTTGGGAGAAATGTTCTTTAAATTGCCTACCCTTTCTCATTCTTCAAGTGGCAGCCATAACTCTGAAACACCCAGCATTTGCTGCTATTAGGTAACAGCACAAATCAGATTTGATGATCAGCTACTGGAGTATTTATTATACTATGATTTGATAATGTTACTAAATCAACATCACATTAATTGTATTTGCAAAATCCCTTGTGTTGGTAATAATCACTTAGAAATGACGTCACAAAGCTAACTTGTTAATCAAGAACCCTGTAGAATTTTTTTTCCCTGTAGAATTTTTAAAATGATTTTACTTTTAGTGGTACTATTTTGTGATATATACGTAATTTGGAATATTGTAGTTGTATTACTGTGCAAATATTCGTTTCTCTTTGAATCAATTGTTCAGATGTCCCTGTGTGAAATGAATTTGGGCAAATATATCGTAGTCCATCTTCTGCAGTATAGTTGTCCATTGCATTGTATTTGTTCAACAGGAGTCTCTTGCATGGCTCAAGACTGCCCCCTCCGAACACCAGAGGATTTTGTGTTTCCATTGCTGCCCAATGAAGAATTGAGAGACAAATACAGGCGCTACCTCTTCAGGGACTATGTGGAGGTATGACCGGTCTTCACAGTTGTGTCCTCTGTCTTCCAGCCCTACCTTCCATAGATGCTCCCCACAGTGCTGTAGATAGACTGCCATCGATGCTGTCATTTGAAGAAAGAGCTCCATGGCTCTAATAAGAGAGTTAAATCAGAGTGCTAGTGAAGAATACGGGTACCCTGGAGTCAGGCTCAGTTGTGTGCACCCCAGTCTGTTGCTTATCATCATCAACCCCTCTGAGCCTTTGTATTCTTTTACAGAATGGTCATAACATAGTTATGTTAACTGTTATGTCAGGGGATGAATACAAATCAGAAATTGTTAACTCTTCCTGGCTGTGGTAATCAGAACAGAGAAGGAATATTGTGTCTGGTGCAATTTGGAACATTTCAGGATTCCAGCACAGTCACTTGGGCGTCTTTGCCTCTACTGGACTACACCTTGTGGTCTAATGGACGAGACTTGCTGATTTCATGCAACATAGTTTCCATCTTTTATCCATCTTTTATGTCTAGGCTTATTAGATTGATTGACGGTTGGGTTCAGATCTCCTTATGCACATGCGGCAGGATAAACAAAGTGCCTTGTTCCCTATGCTATGTTCTGCCTTTGGTAGATGCCTGAGGATCATTGAGTCTTACGCATAGCTGATAGGTGTCTTTTCAGTTCCTATGTGCACTTTCTATCTCAGAGCTTTAATTCTGTATTACATATTGTAATTTAACCATACATCATTCTACTGAGTAGCTACATAATTTAAGCTGAACATTCAAATGTCCTCTTTAGTATCTGGCTAATGTCTAGTTTCGTGGTATCCATCCTGAACATCTATAGCTTCTTGATAAAATCATCAATTGGAAGAAGAGGAGGTATATAAGCACTCAGGGAGATCCAATTTGAAGGCAACAATTAGAGTATGTCCTCATTGTTTCCTCTTGGTATGTCCACAGAGTCACTACCAGCTCCAGCTCTGTCCTGGTGCAGACTGCCCCATGGTTATCCGGGTACAGGAGCCTAGAGCTCGCCGAGTGCAGTGTAATCGGTGCAATGAGGTCTTCTGGTAAGAGTGAGTGTGGGTGCCGAGCAGTCCTGGGCTCGTGGTTTATCCTCCTCCAAAACACTGCTGCTGTTCCTCTGAGGGTGGGGCTGGGAGCAACAAGACCTTTGAGCTAGAAGAGCAGTTCTGTTCCAGTCCAACCTAGCGCTGCCTGTTCCATGAGATGTTCGATAAATCTTATTGTGGTGACAATAAAGTGGCATAGATTCTTGGAGAATATGTTGTAGTTTATGTTACTAAGACTCATGGCTCAGAGCTTGTGTCTGGGTTTCTATCTACCTGTACAGATCATTCACATAGTACTGTCTTTTTAAATTGCAACCTTTGTCATTTTAATCTTTATTTGGCCTTTCTTTGCTAATTCCTATAAACTTACAATTCATGGAAGTGGTTACATCCATTGGGCATTTACCCTTGTTTCGTAAATATGTCAAGAATAGTTAATGTGTATTGGAATCTTAGGAGGAAGAAGCACTGTCCTTTTTTACCTTATCTTCCTTCCACAACAATTGCTACTGTTGTTACCCTTACATTATGGGTGAGGAAATTGGAAGTACAAAGTAAAGACAGAACCCTAATTAGGTCAAGGTCTGCCCTCATCACACTTCCCTAGAAGAGTCACAACATGGAACATGTGTGTGTGCGCTTATGCCTGCCTTTCATGACTTTGTTGGAAAGACTAGTTGAGCATCGCTAGTAGAATTGCTCACCGTCTTTTGTGATCCACATTGTGAACTTTCACCCCTGGGCTGTGTATTAGACTGCTGCCTGAGAGCCTTTGTTATTCTCAAAGATAAGCTGGCTAGAACAAAAGGGAAATCAAAACCGTGGGAACCTAAACCAGACAAATACTGAGGATTGCTTTTCTTATTTTAAGTTTCAAGTGTCATCAGATCTGTCATGCCCCTAGGAGTTGCGCAGATTCTGGCATTTGTGCTTCCTGTGTGTATAGCTAGCTGGGAGGTAAACGGGGGCTCCCAAAAGTAGACCTCAGTCCTGCCTTGGTTCTGAGACAAGGTAGCCTTTCCAGGGCACCTCATCATGCCCTTTGACAGGCTGAGCTCTGAATTTTAAATCTTTGGAAGGATTGACAACACAGAGATTTTAATTAATTAATTTTGGTGTATTATGTCTTAGGGCCTCCCTGATGGCATAAGGGGTTAAGTCTCAACACCTTGAAGCTCTTGGCAGCCACTGCAGCACTAATTTGATCCCCAGCCAGGGAGATGACCCACATGGCTCAGCAGACTTCTCTTGTCTCACCTGCTGCTCCCCTCAGCAGTGTTTTTCAGTACGTCCATCTCTTCTGCTCCCCACGCTGTCTAGGTGAATCCTCTTACTCCTCACCACCACCACACCTCTGGCCTACACCCCAGCTCTTGTATGCATAAATAAATAAATCTTTAAAAATAATAAGAAGACTACATCTTAAAAGAGCTTAGATTGAAAACGAGTTCTCACAGTATTTTATTACTGTATAATTCTGGGTAAGTAACAGTTCCAAGGCCTTGAGAGATGGCTTTATCTCTCCGAAAAGCTCTAACTCAGGACTTGTTCACTTGGACAGAGGGAAAGTTAGAAATATTAGGACCCTGACTTAATAATTATTTAAATGTTTTTCTTTTTTGATTTTAAGTTTCAAGTGTCGTCAGATGTATCACGCCCCCACAGACTGCGCCACAATCCGGAAATGGCTCACGAAGTGTGCAGACGACTCTGAAACAGCCAACTACATTAGTGCTCACACTAAAGATGTAAGGACTGTATCTTACCTGTCATGGATCTGCCCTCATTAGTACTACCCAGGGTGTGGCCTGGAGATTTGCCATCTGAGAACAGAACACCCAGGGTCCCAGACCCCTGGCTGAGGCTCAGAGGCCCTTTCTCTGACTTGGTAGAATTTATTTTATCACTGTATGTTTTGCGTGCATTTATTTTCATAAAATGCTGAAATGCCTGGAAATTTTTGACCCATAACAGAACTAATTAGGAGAGAAATAGATTTTATTAAGTGCTTCCAGGCTTTAACCCCCCCTTGGCGGGTGGTGGTTGATAGGTTAGCCACACCTAATAAATTGCAAGGTATAATGCAAGTCCAGGCCTGTCCAGTTCTCATGGTGAAACTTCCCATAGGAAAGCATGGCCCTCAGTCTGTTGAATTCTAAATGACTCAGCACCCAAGGGTGTAATCTGTGCCAGTCATGCACTAAATTGTTGCACTCTGAAGCACAGCTGTGAGACCATGACATCATTAAACATAGTCCTCCTGTGGCATTGGGAGAACAGAGCATCACACTTCTCTGCATTGCTGCCGGAATTGCCAGCATCTCAAATGAAAGCCAGTGCACTGTAGAGATTGTTTCCTTGCCATCCTCTGGAAGCTGTAGTCCAGGCAAGGTGGCCAGGACTTAGTCCAGTATGGCAGCTTGTAAGCTGCTTTGACTTTCCTTCCAAGTAGGTAGGCTTTCTGCTGACTCAGCTTGTGCTTAATCTGAGTAGCCTCATGGCAGGGATGGATGGTGGAAGACTTAGCGCGGCTCAGCTGGTGGTTGGAGTGTTTCAGAGCCAAACGTGCTGACCTCATTTCCTTGAATTACTGTTCCAGCCTCAGCGACCTGCCACATTTAAGTGAGATGCTCCTCCCCAGAAGTGCTCGCACGATGAGCTACTGGGCACGGGTGCCAGGAGCTTTGTGTAATTTGTCTTAGAACCGGCCTGATGGTGCGTGAGCCTAACGGCGCCCTTCTGTCTCCTCAGTGTCCCAAGTGCAACATCTGCATTGAGAAGAATGGAGGCTGCAATCATATGGTGAGCAGAGGCCTGTACCCTTTGCATGTGTGACATGGAGCCTTTGGTCAGCGTGCTCTTAACATGTTCTCTTCTGTTTCCCTCCGACAGCAATGCTCAAAGTGTAAACACGGTGAGTCCCAGGCTTGGTGCGCAGGACCCAGTGGCACGGTGTGTTTCTTGTAGTTGGGTCTCCATTGCTTGTTTAGTCAGGACTTTTGTGGTGAAGTGACAAAGCAAAGGGGAGCCTCAGTCACATAGAGTCATAATGAGCAGCACAAAGCAACTGCTTATTATTTTCTTGGTTCTTCCCACTGCTGACACATGTAATCAGAAGTCCAGTTTGGGATGACTCTTAAGTCCTGGTCAAGAGTCTGAGAATGATGATCCTCAGTCATCCAGAATGTTAGCTTGTGTTTTAAACTTTGCCACAGTAGGTAAGTAGCATGTGGCATATCTATGGTGCCTTGTAGATACTTTTTTTTTTAAGATGTATTTATTTATGCATACAAGAACTGAGTTACAGGCCAGAGGTGTGGGGGTGAGAGGATTTACCAGAGACAGAGCAGGGAGCAGAACAGGCAGAGAGACTGAAACACACTGCTGAGGGGAACAGCAGGCTTGTCAGAAGAGGTCTGCCATGCCATGTGGGGTCACTTCCCTGACCGGGGACCAAATCATGCTGCAGTGGCTGCAGATAGCTTCATGGTGCTGTGCTCTAACCCATTGTATCACTAGGGAAGGCCTGATACTTTTTATGTATTTTTATGTATTTGTTTTTTGTGTTTTTTTTTTTAATTTATTTATTTATGCATGTAAGAACTGGGGTATAGGGCCTTCCCTGGTTAAAACACAGCACCATGAAGCTATCACACTGCAGCACAAGTTTGATCCCTGGCCGGGGGGTGGGGAAGGGGTCAGACCCACATGGTATGGCAGACCTCTCCTGTCTTGCCTGTTGTTCCTCTCAGCAGAGTATTTCAGTAGATCTGCCTGTTCTGCTTCCCACTCTTTCTCTGGTGAATCCTCTCATCCCTTGCAGCTCTGGCCCGTACCCCAGTTCTGTATACATAAATAAATCTAAGAAAAGAAACTGAGTTGTAGGCCAGAAGTACAGGGGATGAGAAGATTCACCAGAGACAAAGTGGGGAAGCAGAACAGGCAGCTCAACTGAAATACACTGCTGAGAGAAGCGGTTGGAGAGACGAGAGATTCCGCTGTGCCGTGTGGGTCACCTCCCTGGTGGGGGATCGAACTCATGCTGTAGTGACTGCGCATAGCTTGATAGTGCTATGTTTTAACCCCTTGTGCCACCAGGGAGGGCCCAGATGATTTTTTGAATAGACAATACACGATCTTACTGGAGGTTGTAAAATAATATTTTCTTTTGGAGTTTTATAGTTCCCAGAGAGGGGTTGGTTTGGTTTCTCAGACCTTCTTTCCTTCCTGCCAAATTAAGTGAAGAAACAAAGTTATCTCAGGTAGTAAGTATGTCCAAATAGGTCTCCTCCACAGCTGTTTAGGTGCTGTTCTTCTTACGTTTTGCAGGAGTTCACTGTAGTTAAAGTGGACATGGCAAGTTCTTAAAAGGGAGCATTCTGATGTGTAGATAGGTCAAATGTAGGGGCCTATTTCCACTCTCTTTATTTTCACTCTGTGTGTGTGTGTGTGTGTGTGTGTGTGCAAGGGATTGTACCAATCTCTTAGAGCCATTTAAAGAGAAATGACAAAGTGAATGTACGTACCCCTAACCCCACTGCATCCTTGGCAGCCGGAAGTCTCCTGTATTCCTCCCCAGACATGGTCTCCCTGTCCCCTGCCACTCAGTTAATTGCCATCCTTGATTGCTGTATAGTTTCCCCACCTAGGTGGACAACTCTGAGCAGTGACTTATTATTTTAAAAAAGTGCCTGGCCCACCCGGCTATTATTGTTGTACCAGTACTAGGTCTCTCTCCTTCAGGCCACAGTAGTGTTTGGATATGTAGCACCCTTAGGGGATCTTTATGTTCCCTCTTTGCTTTCTTTTTTTTTTTTCACCTCTTTCTTAATGTGGAATTAGAGTCATAATTCAAAGTATGAGCTACATGTTGTATGAGTATAAAGCTGTAGTTTTTTTTTTAATGTGCTCTTTAGGAAAAGGGGTGTCCAAGGGGGTTGCAAATGAGATGGAAAAATGCACAAAATGGTGTAAAAATAAACTATTATATATTAAAAAAAAAGTTTAGAAAAAAAGAAAAAGGGGTGAAGCCATTAATCCCAAATTTATGCACAAAAATCTTCCTCGGCCAGGTGTTGTGAGGGTTGGAAGTGGTCGAGAGGGTAAATGTGTGTTCTGAGTGACCAGGTGGGTCACAGTTGGACAAGTTCCTGCTTGTCACAATGGCACTGACCCAGCAGGCCAGTGTCTGTTAAATTAAAAAGGTACAATAGTGGGTACAAAGTGTCTGAGATTATCTGTAGACTGAAAACATCAGATTAACAATGATAGCAATAGTATAGGGACAGCGGGATGTGGCAGGGAGCATGTTGCACACTCCCTCTGAAAAGAAGCAGCCTTGGAAGTTCTGGTCAGGTGACCCCCCCCACACACACACACACACACACACACACTATCCCCCCTGCACAACTCCTGGAGTAGGATCTGTCTGCCCACTGCTTGCCTGTGCCTTTGATGATTGTGCGTTTTTGTTGTTGGTATTAATGACTTTTCCTTTTCTATGCAGACTTCTGCTGGATGTGTCTAGGAGACTGGAAGACTCATGGCAGTGAGTACTATGAGTGCAGTCGGTACAAGGAAAACCCCGACATCGTCAACCAGAGCCAGCAAGCCCAAGCCAGGGAAGCCCTAAAGAAGTACTTATTCTACTTTGAGAGGGTAAGTGTGCTCTCCTGCTGTCCTTCGTAATGGTGAGCTTCTTCCACCTGGCTTACTGGATTGTAATTCCCAGGGACTGGTAGCCTGAGCCGGTACATATATACAGAAGTTAAGGAATAGAGCTTCTGCAATGGCCCTGGGTGCTGCCTGTGTAGATGGCACTTTTGGGTTCCCTTGAGGTCCACAGGCAACAAAGGGTGAGGCATTGATCTTGTTTGAACAGTGGAATAAAGGACCATCACAGACTTTTGCTTTCTTTTTTTAAGATTTATTTATGCATACATAACTGGGGTACAGGCTGGCGGCGCAGAGGGGTGAGAGAATTCACCAGAGTCAGTGGGGAGCAGAGCAGTCAGATCTACTGAAATACACTGCTAAGGGGAGCAGTTGGCAAGACAAAGAGATCTGCTGTGCCATGTGGTCAGGGCTGGGGATCAAACTCGCACTGAAGCAGCTGTGGCTAGCTTCATAGTGCTGTGCTTTAACATTGTGCCACCAGGGAGGGCCTGTCATCACAGTCTTTTCTAACAAATGCCATCTTAATATAGTCATACCTTATATAACAACAGAAAGATAGCCCACATGGGACTGTCTTAGTTCGTAGTGTCCCCAAAATTCCCGTTGCCCAGTGGTGTCATAGTGTTTTATGAAGGCAGCAGACCCACATATCTTTTTGTTCGCTTGTCTCCTGATAGTATCATTTTTCCCTTGTGCTTCATTTTATCTCATTTTTCCTAGGCATATAAAATTGACTGTTAATGTATTTACACAAGGATCCCCCAAACCCACACACACGTTTCTCAGAACATATCCTCATTGCTTATATATAAGATTTATTTATTTATGTGTATGGAACTGGGGTACAGGCCAGAAGTGCAGGGGCAGTGAGAGGATTCACCAGAGACATGTAGGGAGCAGAACATGTGGATCTACAGAAACACACTGCTGAGGGGAGCAATAGGCGAGACAAGAGAGAGAGGTCTGCTGCCCCACGTGGGTCACCTCCCTGGCCAGGAAATTAACTCATGCTACAGTGGTTGGTGATAGCTTCATAGCACTGAGATTCTGACCTCTGCCCCACCAGGGAGACCCACATATCCCCATTGTTAAGTGATGTGTGGTACAGTCAGATTTAGAGTTTTTTCCAGGGGACCCATTAGAAACTCACAGAGCATGGCACATTTTCTAAGAATAGTACACTAGTCGGTAAGTAGCTGCTTTGCTTAGTTCTCAGGACCAATGCCCTCTTGTCTTGAAGGGATAGAATTATCTGGCAGGCAGGAGCCTCCCTGGTATCCTAAAAGTTATGTCTCAGTGCTGCCCCTGAGAAGGCACACACTAAGAGAGAGCCTGAGTTCAATCCCCGAACAGGGACCTGACCCACATGGCGCAGCAGACCTCTCCTGTCTCACCCACCGCTCCCCTCAGCAGGGTATTTCACTACATCTACATGTTCTGCTCCCCATGCTGTTTCTGATGAATCCTCTCACCCCTGCTCCTCTGGCCTGCACCCCAATCTTATACACAGAAATAAATAAAACCTTTTAAATTTTTTTTTTTAAAGATTTATTTATTTGTGCATACAGAACTGGGATGCAGGCCAGAGGCTCAGGGGTGGTGAGAGACTTCACCAGAGACAGAGTGGGGAGCAGAACAGGCAGATCGACGAAGTACACTGCTGAGGGGAGCAGCGGGCGGGTCAGGAGAGGTCTGACGCGCCATGTGGGTCACCTCCAGGGCAGGCGGGAATCGCAATCATGCGGAAGTGGCTTCAGCTTCTCAGTGCTGTGCTTTAACCCGCTGCGCCACCAGGGAGGGCCCTTTTAAAATTTTTTTTAAAAATTGGCTGGCAGAAAGCTGTTCAGCATAGGGTTAGAGGTGTAGAGTGAAGTCCCCCTTCTGCATGCTCCGGGACCCACAGTCCTCATTAAGTTATATGAGACTGTGCCCATGCTCTGCCTGCCACGATGTTTATTCTGCGCTCCTGTGTGCACCTCTGTATCTTCTTGCGATCCCTGCAGCTTTTTCCTTTCTCTGTGCCTTGTAGTGGGAAAACCACAACAAGAGCTTGCAGCTGGAGGCACAGACATACCAGCGGATTCATGAGAAAATTCAGGAGAGGGTCATGAATAATCTGGGGACGTGGATCGACTGGCAGTACCTACAGAATGCTGCCAAGCTCTTGGCCAAGGTCTGTAAACACCTCACTGTTCTGAGCCACAGTCCACTGTCTGGCCTGTCAGGCCTCTGGGGTGGAAGGCATTACGGAGGGTAGGGGGCTCAGCACCCTGTGCAGACCTGCATGCTTCTGCTAATGGCTCCACAATCCTGGACTGTCTTCAGTGGGCAGTCTTCTGGTGGGCGTCCAGGGGATTTCCAGGAAGAATATTCCACTGTCTCTCCTTGCAGGGGAAGGAACTGCAGGGAAAACTAGAGCCCTTTTTTTCTTTTGTCCCATCCATGCATCACTCAAAGGAAAATAAGAGATTGTCTTTGGACAAGTATTGAGATAGATGTGTGGACTCTGATGTCCGACTCAAGAGGGAAGAGCCATTGAGGCCGCTGCTGGTAATAAATCACAGTTTGAAAAAGGAACTGTGGGTGTTCTGTGACCATTTTTGTTTCAGTTTTCCCCATGTCGTCCCCCAATTCATCCTTTCTTTGGCTTGGCCTCATTTCTTTCAGGCCCATATCTGTAGAACCAGGCTAACTTGCATGGCGGGGTAAGAACTGTAGAAGCCCGGGTGGTCCATCGGTATCACAAAGGCCCTTCTGTCCTGTTGCAGTGCCGGTACACCCTGCAGTACACCTACCCGTACGCCTACTACATGGAGTCCGGGCCCAGGAAGAAGCTGGTAAGGCGCAGCCGCCCTCCGCTCCGCCCTAGCGCCGGCGGCGCCCCTGTCCACAGAGCTTTGCAGGAGAGCAGGTGGCAGGCCCGGTTGAGAGCACAGGGTCGGAATAACGCCGCCAGGTGTAACGTTCCATTGCCACTTCAGGCGTCTCTAACTAGGTGATGCTGTCCTTTGCGTAATAGTAGAGCGGATACTGAAGTTCCTGAACAAATGTATTGATAGGGTGACTGCGCGAAGGTCTGGAGCATAGAAGGCCGGTGCCTGTGCTTAGGGAGAATGCCGGCACGGTGGTCCTAAACATGCACGGTTGATTTGTCACAACAGTTTTTGTTGCAGCTGTCATTTACTAGGCTGGTAAATACCATTTTTTAATAGTTGCATAGATGTTCCATTATATTATTGTACCATTGTTGGGAACATTTTTTTTATTTTTCACTGTTCTTACAATAAGATGTTTAAGAACATCTTTGTGCATAAAGCACTTATGTAAATGGTTACTAAGCCAAATGATTTAAGTATTTTAGGACTCTAGATTGTAGAAGTGCTAAAAAAACCAAAACACCGAAGTGTTGGCTCTGAACACTCGGCGTTCTATGAAGATCCATGTTATTGCAGTCTCTGCTCCCTGTGTGTTGGGAGCTTTCTCTTCGGTGGCTTTTCTGGGGAGTGGAAGTGGATTTGTCCTTGCCGTTTGGCTGTACTCTGGGAAGCCTTTTAAATGGAGACTGGCTCTGGGCCTAGAGGCTAGCACTGTGCTCTGAGGACAGTTGAAGGCTGTCTGTAGCTCATGCGAGCCTGAGGTGCTGCGTCTGCCCCTCCATCTGCAGGCCCTGCCCTGGCTGCAGCCCCCTCTCCTTTTGACCCTCCTGCTCTGCCCATACAGTTTGAATACCAGCAGGCTCAGCTGGAGGCTGAGATTGAGAACCTGTCATGGAAGGTGGAGCGTGCGGACAGCTATGACAGAGGGGTAAGTGCCTTTGTCTCTCTCTCGGGCCCTCTAATGCAGGGGAGGGAGCGCTCACAGGCGAGGAGGATTGTGACTTGTTGGCTTGTGGACGGAAACTGCTGCTGAGCAGGGTGGGGAGGGTAGTGCTCCGACTCCTCACAGCGCATGATGTGGTGGGCATGACTTTGGCCGCTCCCTGTCATAGCACTGGACCATGCAAGCAGCCATCTTGCTTCCCTGGTGCAGGACTTAGAGAACCAGATGCACATAGCAGAACAGCGGAGGAGGACCCTGCTGAAGGATTTCCATGACACCTAGATTGAGACAAGAACATGCCGGAGTGAGGAAGATGGCGCTGCGAGGTCTCCCGGCTGCCACACTGCATGCTGCAGGCTCTGCCTTTCACGACCCCAGGCAACGGCCAGGGCCCCACTCCTGAGAGACACTGGCCACACACACCTCTTAGTTGATTTCTGTTTTCTTCTCATCTTTTTGCTTTTTGTTTCTACCAGGTAGAGGCCATGTTGAGTTTTGGCATCTTTTCAGGACTTTAATTTCCCCTGGATGGTTGGGAGGGAGGGAAAGATTTTCTGAATGACTATAAATAGTATTAGATCATTACAACTTATATAATTTTCAATGGTTGTACAATTATACAAAAAAAAGTGGCAAACAAACCATAGATTACACAGAACCCTTTTTAAAAATAAATTGGCATTGGAGTGTTTTACCCTCTAGCTATTTTACTTAGAACATAACACATGCCGCCCACCTCCCCTGCCTCAGAATGTCTGCTGCCAGAGGGCCCCAGGGTGGTCTCAGTTTCCAAATGCTCGTGTGTTTGGCCACAGCAGGAGCCCCACAGGAAGAACATGGGTGGCAGATGGTGGGGAGTTGGGGTGGCCTAGGTAGCAGGCGTGGAGCATAGGGAATTACCTCATACTTCCTGCCTGGTCTTTGTAGACTCTCGCGGTCAGGTGTACCTGCCGTGCACGGGCAGTTGAGGAGACAGCACAGGTGCAACACAGAACAGTGTCTTGCCCTGAAGTGTTGCCGTCTCTGGCGGCACTGTGTACATGTGGGCTCTAGTTCACTCTTGAAAGTGAGGTTCACCTGGGTGTCTGGCTCCACAGCACAGCATAGCATAGAGATGAGCTTGTCGCCCTCTATACCAGAGGACACGAGTCCACAGTGTTTCCTAAGGATAGAGCTCCGCTTTTACCGGGAATTGTTCCCCAAAGTAAATTTGTTTTATCTTGCTCCCTTCTTTTGTGCCAGTGGTATAAGTCTGACCAGGGTCACATGTGGCCATAGCAGATACTGCCCTGCTACAGTGTCCTCCGGTGAACTTACGGGGCAGAGTTCAGCATGGCCCTCCTGAGGGCACTGGTTTTCCTGGCTCAGGGTCCAGATTTGCACAGGTTTTCCTGTTTCCTGGAATGTATCCAGTGACTGCTGTGGGGGTTGGGCACTTGTCCCACTCTCCTGATCTTAGCTATTGGAGGACACTACCCTGTGGTCTGGGAATTAGAGGTCAGGAGGGAGCTTGACTTTTGTCTCAACTCCTGTGCTGGCCAGAAAAGAGGGCCAGTTTTTGCACAATTGAATGCAAAGGAGCAAGTGGCTGAATGTCATTCTGCCTGTCCTGGACCTAGTCCTGTGGGTCTTTGAAAAGCTACATCTGTGTTTCCTGGGGTTTCTCTGGCTTTTATTCAGTGCCTCCACTCTGGCTGATAGAGCTGTCTATACTTGACAGGGCCTCCTTGACTTCCCAGAGGAGTTGCTAGGGAGATCTATGAATATTTTGTTGAAAAAACTCTTTGATAGTCATACATTTTCCTCTCCAGTCAGCCATCCCCCAGGTACCCTGTAAGCTGTAAAACTGAATCATTCTCAAAGACAGGACACCTGTGGTTCTTGGGGTCATGAGGCTCATGGCTGGCTGCAGGCTCCCTTTACTTCCCCATTGGGCTTTATCATTTCCTGTTATCTCCAGCAAGGAAGGGGTTGTGGGGTGAATTGGGAAAGCAAGTTAGGATTGTTGCAAATGAATCTAGACTGGGGTGGGGAAGAGCCAGCTGTTCATGAGGAGAGTGCTCGCTGCTGGACCTAGGTTTGGAGTGTGACTGCTTTGTCGGCACATGGAAGAGCCTCGCATCTGAAGCCTTCACCTCTTCTCTCCGGCAAGTCATTTTGTGTCACTGCCATGACACAGGACCTGAGTTGCAGCCCTGCACTTTACGTCACTCCCTGGGCATCCTGGGGCCCTTCTGGACTTCACACCTACTGCATAGTGCGCTTGATTCATCTGCGGCCCCAGCCACTGGAACTGCAGGAGCTGCTCTGCCCAGACGTAGTCTGCAGCCCTGACAGACGGAGAGGCTCCTTTTGTGGCCCCAGTGGCTGTCCTTTGTTAACATCATCGGAAAGATGAAAAAATCTGGCAGAGTTTTTCTGCCCTACAAAGGCACAGTGTTGTCATGAATTTACCAGATAACTGTTTTTTCTTCAAAGAAAAGATTACTAGAGGCAGTGTCATCTGCTCAAAGTTGAGTGGTTTATTCAAAATAAATTGAAAATTTCTGGTTAAAAGCATATGTGTATAGTCTTTCTTCAGAGGACCCAAGTAGTCTTCTGTACTAGTACCCGGGGGTTCTGGCCAGATAGCACCACACGCCAGCCGCTCCTCCAGAGGTTTGTGAAGGCCCCTCTGGCTTGACTTCTCTATCTCCCCTTCTGGCTTTCTGGGGGAGGGGGCTGCTCTGGAAGGAAGTAGAATATCCTGATGCTTTTGGCTGTCCTCAGACCCTCGGTGCAGGCCAAACGGTTCCTTACCACAAACAGGTCCCAACACTGCAGTAGGGTACTGATTAGGGTACTGATTGGAATACTCTACAGTGCTTGCTGGAATCATAATCTCATTCAAAACACCCCTGGGTCGCTCCTAGGAGATGTGAAAACAGACTGGATTATGGCAGCGGGAGAGTGGAGGAGGGACATGACTTCACAAGGCCCTAGAGAGTGGCGAAGGAGACTATAGATAGAAACTGCAAGTGTTTGCAGTTTCACCCCAAGGCTTAAGGACCTTGATTTCAGTTGAACTTCCATATTTGCAATGTCAGGAGTGGCTGCACCTTCAGTGATTCGCCCAGGAGTGAAGGCTTCAAAGCGGTGGGCAGCGTGCACAAGGCAGCCAAAGCGCTTCCAGACACTGCCAGTCTGCACTCCACAGGTGCTATACACAGCACCTGTGGGTACAGGTGTTTGGCACCTGAGCATACAGTGGTGCCAAAGATAAGTGACTTTACCCTCCAGGAGCCTCCAGAACATGGGTGACACAGATGAAATTGATCACTAGAGAGTATTTTCACCGAAGCAGCGGGCCATTGTTATAGGCCAGTGGGCAGGGGCACCATAGCCTTGAAGGTCTCCAAAAATAAAGTGAAAATAGCACTTGCAGACAAAATCAGAAGTAGGGATTTTTTTTATATCTTCCTTGTCTTCTACATGGCAATCAGCATTGCCTGTGCAGGGGGCTCTACTTAGGCACTGAAGACACAGACATTGATCTTGTCACAAGACAGTCTTAACAGCAACTGAGCATGTATCCACTTAGTCCTCCCATTTTGAATTGGGTGCTGTCATATGCAAATCACAGAGCTATTCAAAGTGTCACCAATACCCTGCTAGTAAATAGCAAGAAAAAATGTATTCAGTTAACAACTGGATAGTTAGCACCTAGATGATAATACAGGTGAGAACACCCGCACAAAGCCTAGATCTGACTATCAGCAAACTGGGTCAGAAGTAGGAGGGGTCGGCCACCCCCACAAAGTGAGCCAGGCTGGTGAGAGGTTTTAGGCATTAAAATGATCGGGGCATTAAAAGGCTAAGAAATTATGGTGGCGCAACAGGTTAGAGCACAGCACTATGAAGCTATCCACAGCCACTGCAGTATGAGTTCGATCCCCTGCTAGGGAGGTGACCCATATGGCATGGCAGACCTCTCCTGTCTGTCCTGCTGCTGCCCTCAGTAGTGTATTTCAGAATATCTGCCTGTTCTGCTCCCTACTGTCTCTGGTGAATCCTCTCACCCCCTCCCCCCCCCCCAGACCTCTGGTCTATACCCCAATTCTGTATTCATAAAAATGAAATCTTTTTTTTTTTTTTAAGATTTATTTATTTGTGCATACAGAACTGGGGTACAGGCCAGAGGTTCAGGGGCAGTGAGAGGCTTCACCAGAGACAGAGTGGGGAACAGAACAGGCAGATCGATGAAGTACACTGCTGAGGGGAGCAGCGGGCGGGTCAGGAGAGGTCTGCCACGCCATGTGGTCACCTCCGGGGCAGGCGGGAATCGAACTCATGCGGAAGCGGCTTTAGATTCTCAGTGCTGTGCTTTAACCCACTGTGCCACCAGGGAGGGCCCAAAAATGAAATCTTTTTTAAAAAAGAAATTATGATGTGGTTGTGAACTTTCCAGAGGCAGTAGCAGATGGAGCAGAATTGGGTGTGAACAAGTCCACTCCCCTTGTTTCCTACCTGCTTGCTTTCTGGTCTCCAGCACTGAGCCAGCAGAGCTGCATCAGCGTACATATCTTGGTGGCAGACACACCTTGGTGGACACAGGTAATAGAAATAACACAAAAATAAGGAACATCTTGTGGAATCTATACAAAGCATTTAAAAGACAAAGCGAAAAAGGAAGCAGCATTCACAGATGCCAGAAAACCTTGACATCGTTGATAAACTTATTTAGTTGGTATTTACCGTATTTAAGAATGTTAGGTGTTACATGTGATTTGGGGAAAAATATACTTGTTTCTACTCGTTTGTTATACTCAAAATTTGAGAGACTTTCGACCTAACGAGTGAATTAAAGAAGCTACAGAAAAGTCCAGTACTCCTAAATTGGTGATTGAGTTCTCGACTAAATCAGAAACATTGCTTTTTCAGCAATTCCATTTCTTTTGGAATTCACTTCAGAGGCAAGGGTGAGGTTCTTGCTGCTACAACCACCTCTGTTCAGGAGTCCTGGCTTGCCTGCTGCGTGACAGTCCCCACCCACGCCATCTCCAGTGGGATGCTGAGCTCCTGCTGGTCCTTGGTCAGCATCCCAGCTCTGGCTGAGCCACAACAGCTGCAGCGGCATGACGCCTGCTCTCCCTCCCCGCGAAAGGAAACATCCAGAACTTCTGCATTTGTTGTAACAGGTGATCCTAAGGAAGACTAGATGAGTGAATACACCCATGTGCTTGGCCACTGGTAACACCTACCTCTGTGTAGAATCTCTGAGTACAGTAGGTGGACTTGCCCTAAAATCAGAAAATACAGACTCTACTTCTCTGGGAGGAGAGGAAGAGAGGGCTGTAACATAGAGAAGCCACAGCTGGGACTTGACTTCAGTGGGTGTTGCTCTGGCCTGCACGTCCACCTGAGGCTTGGGCTTCTGTTCTGAGGCCTGCACATCTTTGCCCGGGCATAAGCCAGCCCCCGAAGGGCAAGGAGACTGAAAATGAAATGACCAGGCTTTGGCATGGCCACTGTTCTGTCCCCGCACATCCACACTTAGCAGTAATTTGATCCTTCTCTAGGGTGATGGTGTCTCCATTATGGAAAAGCTCCTTTCTCGCTCTTCATCCATGCCATCTCTGAGGCAATGTGTGTTTCTGTGTATCTGATCACCTGCAGCATTCCTATGGGTTACTCTTAAGGGTCTGACCTTCCTGGCTGAGGCCTCTCCAGGAAGCCTGTCTGTTCCCAGACTGGATCCCACTGTCCCACTGAATATGTACAGAACAGACAGCTTCTTCCTAAAACCTGGCTCCGGCAGACCATCCTGGGAGGTCCAGACCACAGCACTGACCTCCAACTTGTTCTGGGCCTCCGACGCTGGCGAGGGGCAGTGCAGATCCTCGGGCATTCATGCGCAGTCATCAGTTTCAGTTTAGGAGGCGCCCCCAAACCTCCGCAGTATTAAGTCATCTTTTGGCGCTGCCTCCTCGCTGCCATTCTACTCCCGGGAGCAAGAAAATGCAGGCCATATTTGTCCGGGGAGGGAAGGAAAGGTGTTTTAACCCGACAACGGAGAAGCTACCAGTGTTACGTTGTTTTTGTTTTTTTTAATGGTGCTGCTTCTGTCGGTGTCAACTTTTGGGGGATCGGCTTCTGCCCTGGGGAGTGTCCATCTCCGCCCAACTTCCGATAAGCCAGCTCGGGAAGAGAAGCCAGTGTGGGCCAGCGTCCACGGCGCAGAGACTCCGGCGCGGCGCGGCGCGGCGCGGG